GTTGGGTTGACAGGAACTGGGGAGGAAACAGGAGCTCACCCTGTTTAACGTGAAGGCTGGATTCGAACCGCCGAAGTGTCAGCCATTTCTGGCCGGCAACTTTCAGCGTCATGAATAGACTTCTGGACTCAATTCAAAGTGCTGGTTATTTCCTATAAATCCCTTACACAGAGCAATTCCTAAGCACGTCCAGGGCTGCAGTCTTCCATGTTATCAGCAAAGAGAAATGCATCCTCATCAAGTAATAGGAAGGCTGTGAGAAAGAGAATCAGAAAGTCTGTGCCATAATATACATGGAGATATATTGGTTCTAAAGTGAAACTAGAACCAATAGTTCTTGCTTATATTCTTGTACCACTATCCCTTTCATCGAAATAAATCTTGCTAAATAAAACTAAGAATCATGTTTGGAAAAGAATCCCTTTTTGTTTTTGGCAACTGCCAAAAAGCCTGACATATACAAAGTAAAATCTTTGACCGTACTTCAACTCTTGATGATTTCATGGACGCCTCCTTAGCCCTGGAATTTCCTGGTGATCTCCCATCCAAGTATTAATTGGGTTTCACTCGCCTTAAGTTTGTCAAAGTTTGTTAAGTTTGTCAAATCAAAGAGAAATATAAATAGCTGAAAGTCTTTTATAATGATTGTTTTTATCTATTTGTTGTTTTATTGAATTGTTGTATGCTGCCCAGAGTCACTTTGTGTGAGACGGGCGGCTATATACATGTGATAGATAGATAAATAAATAAAATGATCACAAGAACTAGATAAAAGCACATGGAACCATATAAGAACTTGAAAAAGCGGTTCTTTGCAGCCTGTCAAAAGGACAACAAAATGGGAACTATGTAACCACATTCCATCATTGAGGCATAGCTACTAAAATAGGCCAGGCATCAAGAGAAGGTTTTATATTGAAGATCTTAATGTACTTTTAGATACATATGAAATCAGGCAGGTTTTCAAGTATCCTGAACCCATGTCGTAAAGGTTTTTAAGTGCCGAAACTCTGAACTGGGATCAGTAGCGGCCAGGGACCCAATATAACTAGCATATTACAATGATAGCGTCTAATCATTAGTTTTGCTTCTTTCTTTTATGTGGCATAGGTATTTGTCAGGATTTGTCTTCTTTCTTCTCAGATTCCAGAGCAAGATGAATGCTACATAGAGGACAGTTTCTGTGTTGAAGACAATGAAGAGGGTAACCCCAAAAGCAGTTCCAGTGAAGAAGATGTGTGTATCAATTTTGACCTTTTAGGGGAAGAAAGTTTTGTGAATGGGAGAAAACAATACCAAACCCGGCACAGGAGAAAACTGAAAGAGGGCCATGTGGAACAGAAAACAGGAATTCCATTAGTGCCAAAGAGGTTAACTTGGGTTCGGATTCTTAACAGATCTAGTGAAGATGAGGGAACTGATAAAAATGAAGAACTGGTGGAATCACGAGTTAATGCTAAAGCTGATAAGGATTCTAATGTTACTTCCTTAACTATGGGCCAGACCTTGCACCAAAAATTGTCAGTTCCAAAACTTAAAAGCTGCCAACCCCAAGAAAGCCATGGCCAGGAATGCTTGGAAATAAAAGCTTGTTTGCCAGAACAGTCAGATTTTCATCCTCAAAGCAAAGATTGGTGCAAATCAGAGCTTGTGGGTGGACAGTTCCAGACTATGCTGAAGGTAAGGCTGTTTTTTAATTACCGCTTCTTCTGTGGCAATGCTTAGAATAATGGAACTAAGAAGTCAGGAGAAACCTTTAAAAAGTCATTGGTTTAAGCCCTTGCCTCATTTCTCTTGAGAATCTTCAGTAAAAGATTTCATAGACCCTTTCAGTCGCTAATTCTGCTATATTATCAGTGTAGTATGGTATGTCTCCCATTTAATCTATTTACTCATTTTGCAATAGGTAGTCAGACCCAGCCTTGACTGCTATATTGAATTCTAGACACCACACTAAGAAGAGATTGAAACAGGTTCACAGAATAGCAACAAAGTTGGTCAAGGAATTAGAAACTGAGAGCTACAAAGAGAGAATGAAGGATCTAGATAAGTTTAGCCTTGAGAAAAGATGACTGAGGAAGGATATAATAGCACCCTTCAGGTACCTGAAAGTGTGTCACATAGATGAAGATCAATAATGATTTTCTCTGGTTCCAGAATGCAGAGCCTAGAATAATGGATTAAACTATGGGAAGGCAAATTCTAAATGAAGTAGGGAAAACTTTCTAACAGTAAGAGTTAGCAGAGAAACAGTTACCCAAAGAGGTGGCAGACTGTTCTTAATTGGCTTTGTTCAAGCAGATGCTAGAAGGCCCCTTCCAACCATATGGCTCTATGAGAGTAAAGAGGTATGCATGCTGTTGGACTTTTTGCAGGAATGGATTTGATGATTAGAAATAATATGGGTTAATAGAAATAATGGAAGTTAAGTTGTAAATTTAGAGCAAGAGTTTG